TATTATGTTAAAATAGTGGATGTTAAATAGGTTTGTACAATAAGTCCAAACAAGTTTTACCAAAAAATATCTATTTCTCACAATTATGAAGTGTAGATGGTTAGGGTCAGGGTCAGGGTTAGTACATCGTTTTGTTTCCACCTGAGATAGCTGCTAGTCACATGACCTAAAACACAACATTTGTTTATAGCACTTTATTAAACTTATTAAAAAGGCTAATACCTGTAGCTTTCCTTTTCAGTTAGGGTTAGGACATAGTTTGTCTTCCGATTTCGTATCGACAGTAAAGTTTAGTTTCCACCTCAGAACACATGACTTAATCAAAATGGCCGACTTGGATCTTGGCGGACTTGGATATCCAGCCGAGGCTCCTACAGGCTGCTCGTTTTCTTTCAGGATTTAATCAAAGTCCCTGAGCGCCATCTACTTTTAATCAGGTTTGTCTGTTCAGATCAAGTTAGCGTTTAAAATAAACGCTGTCTTCCAGCTCTTCCACGAGTTTGCGGATAAACCTTTTTTTTGGGGGGAGATTCATTTTAATGGACACTAACAGATGTGTAATAATACATGGAGAACCAGCACATTCACAGGGAGCTTGGTTTGCTGTTTTTTTGACCAGGAATCCACCACCGACCAATCAGAGCTCAGTTCAGCCGCTCACAGGTAGATAAAACTTCGTGCCTGTTCTTCGAATGTCAGCAAACCAAATAAAGGCTTTTTTATTATGTCAGCTGAATAATTCCACGAGCCTGCTGCTTTTTGAAAAACCAACTCAACTGAGAATGGAGAGACTCTGAGACAAATCCATATGTTGCTCAATGGGATGTTACAATAAATCTCCAGGCCAGAAAAAAATGTAGTTGGTTTGGTGTCCTGCGGTATTTGTTTTTTTGTTTCCTATTTGTTATGTTTTTATTGATTAGTCAGCCTCCTGTTTGTTCTTCGAACGTCAGCAAACCAAATAAAGGCTTTTTTATTATGTCAGGTGAATAATTCCACGAGCTCCGTCATAATTTCCTCACCCTTAATTAAGTGAAGCTTTAGTGGGGAGCTGATTTGAGATGTTCTCCTGCAAAAGCCGGTCTGTGACGAGTTAACGATTCACCAACATACAGAAACTATTCTGAACCTGCTGATTTTTCAAAAACCAACTCAATGGAGAATAGAGAGACTCTAAGACAGGGGTGCTCACACTTTTTCAGCATGGGAGCTACTTTTGAAATGACCAAGACAAAATGATCTACCCGTTCCACATTTCCCTTCTTTGGTATTGCGATGGTAGACTGGCAGACGAGACAAACGCACTTTGAAAATGTCATCGTGAAAAAAAAGTCATCCTCCCATTCCATATGAAATTGACACGTTTTTTCTTCTTACTTGGTCCAGCTCCCCCACTCATTTTAATAACTTATCTTACGTTTAAGTAGAAAAAAACGAGCGAAAAAGTTAGCTTGTTAGCTTAGCTGCGCACAGTGAGCTAATTGTACTGAAAATAATCAGACGTCATCTGACTGGTTGTCCTGTGTATCAATCAAGTTACGGGACGGCTGATAGGCTGACGTCTAGTTTTTATTCAAAACAACTCAACTTTATTTGTATAGCGTCAGTTCATGACGATGTCACCTCACCTGGTCATGTGATCTACCGATAGCACCTGGAGATCAACTGGTAGATCGTGATCGACGTATTGAGCACCCCTGTTCTAAGACAAATCCATATGTTGCTCAATGGGATGTTACAATAAATCTCCAGGCCAGAAGAAAATGTAGTTGGTTTGGTGTCTTCCAGTAGTTTTGGTTCTGTTTTTATTGATTAGTCCCTCTGTGTGTGTCCTTTTTTTAATCCCGGTTTTGTGCGACACTAACAGACCGTAAAAACATTGTAGGAGCCATTTGTTTATTTTAGTTATTTGACAACATACTTTCTTAATTTCTACATATCTTAATTTCTATGGCAGTTTGTTTCCATGTTTCCCCCTATAGGTGAAGGCGGGAACTGCGCCTATGAGACAGTCATTGACCGTGATTTGGCACTGCAAACTTGGACGGATCTTTTGTTATACTCAAGTTTAATTTGTCACATTAAACCATCAAAAGACACACAATAACCATCTCCTGGACTTAATTTCACGCGTCAGACCACAGTATTGGACACCCAAGGTGGGAAAGATTGTTAAAGAAAAACAAACAAAGAAAGTGTAAAATTGGAAACAAAAATTAAAACGACAACTTTACCACTACAAACATGGCCTTGTGCTTATAGGTCGGCAGTTTCGGGCCTAGCTGTCTAACTAGCAAACATTCCCAAACCCCCCCCCCCCCCCCGGCCCTTTAATGAAGGACAGATCCCGGCCATAGAGCGGTTTCAGGGGGGGGGGCTGACTGGAATCGTCTCAGTCAAAAGATATTGGAGACGGCCGGTGTGGGAGGAAGGTTTCGCAGAAGTTTTGTGCGGAGTGGAGGAGGGCTAGCTTGATATTAACGGAGACAGAAGGAGGGAAAAAGCTCGTGCCATGTGGTCTGCATTTTCGCCGTAATCCCCGTCAAACCAAAACCCAATCAGACCATCTCCCAAACCCGAAGGGGGCCGCTCTGGTTCTCTGTTCGCACATAAAGTGTGTTTGTGGGTGTCGGGAGAAGAGGATTTTGGGGGTTTTAGGGGTTTTAGGGTGAAGGGTGCTCACAGAATCCAAACTGTGGCCACATAATAACAGAGCTGAAGACACGGGAAATGGACGATCTTACTGAAATATGGGAATGTCTGTCAGCAGGGCTTTGTGCGTGTGTGTGCGTGTGTGTGTGTGTGTGCGTGTGTGTGTGTGTGAGTGTGTGTGTGTCAGGTTGTGGTGGGGAAACAGGACCTGAACTCTTTGACTTACCATCTTTTTTTT